CTAGGAACTGAACCAGGGACCCCCTTTTGGTATTCAGAAAGCCGTTTGGAAATAATCAAACATGGTTCTGTGGTTCCCGCATGCACTTCTATATCATACAAAAGACCGTTTTCAAAAAGCTTGCACCCTCTGAAAGACCTTCCTAGTAAGCACTCAGAGCGATCTGTTGGTTTTCATTTTTTCACTCAGGGGAGAGGTGGAGTTATTTGTTCTCTTAATTTCGCTGTACAGGGGTGGCCAAAAAAAGAGACACTTCACTCCACATTCAAAACGGAATTATTTACGCGTTGCGAAACCAAACCAAATGACCCAACTGAATATTGAAGAGCACATAATCTATCAACAAGCTACACAACAGCCTTCTACACCGACGACATCAGAAGATTTTCCCACGGAAACATGGTTCACGGTACGAGCTCAACGAGGTCGTCGAGGTACCATAGACCATTACGACGTCCCTGAAACGCTGGTCAAAAGCGGTTTTGCACAGTCACAGCTAATGTCTCTGGAAGCTATTCACAGTTAATCCATTGAAGAAATTATGTAGCAGCTTCAGGCCGGAGCGATTACGGTAAGCCTCGTTGAGCTCGACGGTGACGGCAGATGACGTCATATTCTGAAGACGGCGGGGCAGTGAAGGAGGGCCTGCTTCTGTTTACGGGGGAACACCTAAGGAATATTCCGCCGTAAAACTTTCATTAACATCGGCTCCCTGTGCGACGAAAAGTTCGATGATGTGCGCTAAGTGTCTTTTTTTTGGCCACCCCTGTATATCCTTCCGCCTATAATTTCCTTCATTTTCGATTTCTGGTTGCATGTGTTTGTAGCATGAGCGGTAGGTGGTGTAGCAAGAGCGGTAGGTGGTGTAGAAGTGGCGTCACTTCCCAAGGTAGGGTTCGGGGTCAAATCTTGTGTCGAATCTCGTCCAGACCAAGCAAGCCTTCCGCTCTCCGGTATCGGTCAAATAGTGCTGGACTTTCTCGAAGGCATAGAATCACTGACACCACTGTCTGGCCCCGCAAGCTACTGTGTATGTCACAAAGCGTTCAAATGCCACTTACTATTGCAAATGGTAGTAGAATACGTGGCGCGCCTCCAAAGGGGTTGGTCAATGCCGAAAACTTCATACTTCATGACTGACTACGTTCATGTGAAAATCGTTTCGAGATGTTGCACATCCTTCAAATTCGGCACCATTGTATGCTCCTCAATCAGCGAAGAAAGCGTTATACTGTTTCGTCGGTTCCATGACCTCCTGCCCTCCGTACACCCCTTTCTGTTTACATGTGACTTCCCTGCAGGTCTATTTCAGTGGGAGTGTTGAGACGGAATCGTACTACGTGCTTCTCGATAGTCGTTAGTCTCAGCGTGGGAACATTTTTAGTTGTGGTGAATATCAGCTGAGGAAGAGCAGGGATCACCCATAATAGTGTGAGGGCTCAAAATGATAAGGTTAATGCTGGAAGTTCTAATTTAAAAAAAATATTTCTCGTAAGTATTCGAAGACGCGCGGAGAGTTGAACAATTGGTACCGAAAGCATCACGGGGCGAGCTAATCCTTAGGCCAATAGCACCTGAACATAAGTAGTTGCCATTTTATCGTCACTTCTCCACTTTGAATCGAACGCCATGCATTTGCTGTGGATACCGTTCCAACCTGGGTGAATAACGGTCGAGGAAATCCCCGACCATGTCTCTGTACTGGTGGGAATAGTGTCAAGAGTGAATGTACGCGCGGACACAAACGGCTCGCGCGTGGCAAGTGAATATCTACGCGGGAGAGCGTGACTGAATAGGCAAAATTCCTCGACGTGTCGTCGATCAATCGTCGACCGATTTTTGCCATGGGTTCTCGTTCGACCGATTTTTGCCATGGGTTCATCTCTCATTGAACGCCACGAACACTATGGTTGAATCAACTGCTCTTTTCAAATATCTGCAGTTGCGCTTTTTGTTGCACTGCCGGATCATCATTATCGATGAATTGCTCTGGAACACTTGGCTCTTTGAATAATTTCTTCTTTTCTTTGAATAATAGTAGTATTTGGTCCGCAGTGATGAAGTGAACAAAATAAGTTACTGAGAACCCTCAAAAGTACACCGCGTTGTCGGTCGGTCTAGGCGGATTGATTCCCTGATACTAGCGTATTTCTCCACACTGGAGGTGGTGTGGCAACCGGCTGAAACAATTGTTGGATGGTTGAGACAGTTGGCGTCGCCATAGAAAGGGAAGTTTGCGAAAACAACTGAATGTGTTCCTGATTTCAGGATGGAAAAGTGGTTATGGAATACGGTTTACTGTATGGATTTGACTGGGTTGTGTGGTTGACGGTTTTATGGTACTGTGTTGGAGGTGAGTATTTTATCATATACTAATCAACAGCCCTATAACAGAAGGCATGCAGTAATTTATAAAGTAACATGATCTGTACTTTTATTCATTACAACATATCTATGTCTATCTGACTACGGTATGTAAAGAGGATAAAGTGGCAGAAGAAGGAGGTAGTGATCTGATGTTGATACCGGCTGAATGTGTGAAAAGTATGTGGAAATATGACTTGACGCAGCGCGGTTCTCTAACCGCTAGTTTCGCGAGCAAATTTCGGACGATCAACTCGCTTCAGTGCCTCCACAGCGACTGCAGTAAGGGTTATATAAATTAACACTGTCTCATAATTATAACTTCACCTAAGAATTGCAAAAAACCTCACAAATTCAGACGTCTTGGGAAAAAGTCTTCAATGTGACAATGTTTTAAATAATGAATGCGAAACTGCATATAAACAACATCTTTCAACTTGAGATCACAGGAGTTTTTTTTTCTAAATTTTTGTATAGAAGGCCACTTAGCCGATGTTCCAAAATAAACTCCACCTCGTGTTTTTCTAATATTTTTAACTTCTGTTTCGCGAAACTTATTGCGCTAACATTCCCTTAGAGGAACAGTATAATAACAAAAGCAGTCGGACTTCGAAAAGGTCGGATCGTCGCAAAAACTCTTAAACTAAGCAATCACGCGAGGTCTGGACTAAATTCTTGCTAAAGCATTTCTTCAAGGGATGATATGACATGATATGGAGCTGAAAAGAGCTGCAAGAACCGCCCTGCTTTTCGATAGAGACAGAGGCCACTGCACAAGAGAAGCGTTCGCAACTACTGCCAAACCGTGCTCTCTCATCGAATCTTCTTTGAAACCTAATGTCTCAACTGGCTTATGTTTCATGCGCGCGAAAGAATCCCAAGTTTAATCTTGAATAGAAAAGTGGAAGGCATCATCTGCGGCCGGAAACCACGGCAAAAATTGTGACGATTTTTGCATAAAGATGCAGCGAAGCTGATTGGACTACGGTACGCTTTTGCTCAATATGTTTCAGCACGTCCGTTTTTCTTTCTCGTGGTGGCTTTTTTCGTTGCAAAGCGCTACAGGGGAAATAGGTAATGAGAAAGACTGACAAACACTAATGCATAGCAAGCAAGAGCGAGCGTATTACAGTCGGCTTCGCTGTATCTTTATGCAAGAATTTGCCTCAATTTTGGATATCATTTCCAGCAACAGGTGATGCCTTCCACATTTTCCATTCAAGAATAAACTTGGGGTTTCTTTCGCACGCATGAAACATAAGCCAGTTGAGACATTAGGTTCTGAAGAAGAATCGATGGCAGAGCACGGCTTGGTTGTAGTGAATGTTTCTCTTGTGCCATAGCCTCTGTTTCTAGTGAAAAGCAGGAGCGGTTCCTGCAGCTCTCCTGAACTCATATCAATATCAAATGTTGATTCCCTGAAGAAATGCTTGAGCTTGAGGTGAATTTAGTCCAGATCTCGCGTGATTGCTTGGTTTAGGAATTTTTGCGACGACCTGACCTTTTTCGGGTGCGACAGCATTTGTTATTATAGTGTTCCTCTGAGAAGGAAGATGTTAGCTCAATAAAAAAAAAATTCGTAAACAGAAGTAAAAAACAATAGAAAAACGTGAGCTATCCTTTTGGGCTATCGGCTAAGTGGCCTTTTACACAAAAATTATTATAAAAAACTCCTGTGATTCCAAGTTGATAGATGGTATTCCAAGGCAGGCTCGCATTTATATTTTAACACATTGTCACATTGAAGGCTTTTCGAAACTTCTCTAAATTTGTAAGGTTTAGGGAAATTCTTTGGTGGAGTTATAATTATGAGACAGTGTTTTATTAGTGGGGCTTGCGCAAGAAACATGGAGTGGAACGCAAGCGCAGAGCACATACCCACCACGACTTAACAAGGATGAGGCGCTAAGGCCTAGGGATGCAGCATTGGCCTAGCCCAACAACCCTTATCTCGCCCCAAATCAGTATTTCGCTTCGCCGATACTGGGAGGCGACCTTATTTTTGCCTTGTTTGATGATTTCTTCCCGGTTTTTTTATTACTCTCGTTACACTTTACACCTCCACTGCGCTTATAAGCGCAATAACACATGGGTTCGATCCCGGGCTCTGCACTTGAATAGGTAAATATATACTACATAATAATAATAATAAATATGTAGTCAAATTTTTCTTATTTTTTTTCGAGTCCAAATTATGCACAAACTCACTTATTTGATATTCGAGTCTCTTGATTAGCTTATCGCGCTGAACATTTTTCACTGAGGGAATTTAAACCCGACCAATACATCTACAGTCTACACGCGAAATTTGAAATGCTGGAAGAGCGACATCGCGTTCTGCCATGTCGCCACAAATCAAAGTGTCGTAGACGATGAACGACAGCTGCTCGAGTCATAGTCCGTGGGTGGCATAACAGGGCTATACGACAACTTTTTGTTCCATCCCTTTCCTATCCCTTACCTTTCTTAAAGGAATCTTCCGCGGAAAAAGCTCCGCCTCCATTACCACAGAAAACGATACCCCTTAGGCCCCTAGCCTCATGAGCATAGCAAAAAGAACGGAACATAAGCGTTAGTTTCGATAATACTAATCCTACACACAAGACAAAATGATCACTCTTTCCGTGGAAGATTCCTTTAAGGTATCGTTTTCTGTGGGTGAGGGCGGAGCTTTTTCCGTGGAAGATTCCTTTAACGCCTGTCACCTTTGCGCGTGAGAAGAAATGTTCATAAGAAGTAGTTTTGATATGAGTTTTGAGCTAGTTCAGGAATTAAAGTGAGCGAATGGTGAAGAGGTAACCTCCCTTTCGAAAAACGAGAAGAGTGTCGGGTGCAGACCATACACCACGAATGACGACAGCCTCCAAAAGAATCTGGTCAGTAGCAGTCCTTAGTGATAGCTGATTTTTTGTGAACGATAGTTGTAATTAATGACAATTGACAGAATACAACTGCAACAGGCTAATCATTTCATTGGCAGAAACATTTACATTTTGTGGAGGCGATCTTCTCGTTTCTTGAAAGGGAGTATAAGCTGTGCCTTTCCTCTCCCTTCCCTCCTCCTTTACCGTACTTGGGCCGCATGCTATCCTTCCACCAGGGTAGGGGAACAAAAAGCTCTCACGATACTTTTGTTCACAACGACATAGGCCGATGTCAAACATTGTGAATCAAGAGATTTGCTAGCGCCTGCGCTTGCGTCGCGCGCTATCAAGCTTTACTGTACGCGCTGCTATCATGGGCGCTAGCGAATCGCAAACTGACATCGGCCATAGCCTCCTTTTAGCTCATGCTTACTTTTGCACAATTCCCATATCCATCCCTTTACAAATATGAAGGCTCTTTCTTAGAACGGTTCAGGTTGGGAAAGACAAAGATTCAAAGGGATTTTCGTCTTCTCTTCGGGGGAAGGATAGCATACGTTTTTTGAAGGTCACGAGTTGTTTCAATACAAAAGTGCTGCTATTCACATCTGGTATTTGAGGGACAGTTTCGAAAACCCTGGGAGAAGCTAGCGAGTATTAATAGAATGTGCTAAGCAGATGGGATAACAGTGGAAGACAGGGCTAGAAGTTCGGGTAAGAAAATAAGTAGGGAATCTTCAAAATTTGAGGGCCAATCTTTGTTTCCAAAGCGTCATTAGGACTAGTGTTATTCCAAAGTGTGTGTAAAAGACTTCACAGAGCTACACTGCTCCGCATAATTATAAACACTGCTCCGCATAATTATAAAGCCACCTATGTTTTCTGCAAAAACTCTTTTCCTAAGATGCGTTCGAAGAAGCTTCTATATGGAAAAGGATGTAGGTATAAATGCTTCTTTTGCACACCAGCACAAAGTTCCAGCTTTGAAATTTGAAGAGTGTTTTTCTGCAATTTTTCGAAAAAGCCGCTCTGACCTATTCCGCATAATTATAAAGCCACCCCATACTTTCTCGTTGCCTTTCCTTCCTGCTCGATTGAATTTTTTTGTTGTTATCCACACTTCGTCTTTAGGTGAAAACGAGAGGAAACCGTCACCATAATCTGAATAAAGGGAAATCGTAACAAAAATCGTGAAAGAGTTGAGAGGCAGTCGCACTGCCCGAATTTCGGGCCAGGTTCGCTTCAGAGTAAACAATTTCTTCGAGCATTGTGCAGGATATGGAGTAAAATTGAGCCTCGGAGATCGTTCGTTGCTTTCGGATTCAGATAAACGCCGCCTCATAAGAAAATCGAACAGTTCCACAATTTGTGCTTGGAAATCAAACCTTATTTGAAACTTAAATCTCCAGCAGGTGCCTGTTCGGCGTCTGTGGCAGAACTGCAAGTTCATTCACGAGTGAGAAATGTAAAGCGCATTGTTTATGACAACAAAACATCTCAAAAACCGGGACAGTTTTGTCAAGAAGTGAAGCCGAGCGACTGGAGTGAGGTCGGTTCCTTACCTGTCATTTCTCACAACTTACCTGCCTTTCTTCCGAAGTTCTTTACCTCCAGGATACGCTTCTCCATGAGAAGAAGTTATCTAGAGTAAGAAAATGTTTCGAGAAAGGGAGACAAGGCGCAGGAAGTGACAGATAAAAACCCGACCTAACTCCGGTCCGCTCGGCTTCACTTCTTGACAAAATTGTCCCGGTTTTCGAGATGTTTTGTTGTCATAAACAATGCGCTTTACATTTCCAAGTCGTGAGTGAACTTGCAGTTCTGCCACAGACGCCGAACAGGCACCTGCTGGAGATTTAAGTTTCAAATAAGGTTTGATTGCCAAGCTTAAATTGGTGCAAGTGTTTGATTTTCTTATGAGGCGGCGTTTATCTGGAATCCGAAAGCAACGAACGATCTCCGAGGCTCAATTTTACTCCATATTTTGCACAATGCTCGAAGAAATTGTTTACTCTGAAGCAAAGCCGGCCCGAAATTCAGGGCAGTGCGACTGCCTCTCAACTTTTTCACGATTTTTGTTACCATTTACCTTTATTTTGATTGTGATGACGGTTTCCATATTGTTTTCGCCTAAAGACGAAGCATAGATAACAATAAAAAAAATTTAGTCGAGCTGGAAAGAAAGGCAACAAGAAAGTATGGGGTGGCTTTATAATTATGCGGAATAGGTCAGAGCGGCTTTTTCGAAAAATTGCAGAAAAACACTCTTCAAATTTCAAAGCTGGAACTTTGCGCTGGTGTGCAAAAGAACATTTATACCTACATCCTTTTCCATATAGAAGCTTCTTCGAACGCATCTTAGGAAAAGAGTTTTTGCAGAAAACATAGGTGGCTTTATAATTATGCGGAGCAGTGTATTTGGTTGAAGGTGATTAAAAACTCAGCAAGTTGCGTACGTATTCCTGGAAGGGGGCGTGATAGTGTTGAGTTGTAGTCGACTTTGCATGAACATTTTTTCTCTTCAGGACTTTCGGTTGCCGTATGCATAAAGTATGCCGACAACATTGCTAAGAATTTCGCCACCTCGGTTGCCATCATTTTGGCGACGATTGGTTCGATGGTTTTCTTCAGTTTCCAGCCTTCAGCAGTGTTTATTTTGGGAGCGACTCTAGTCATATTTAGCATCTTTATGTATTCGTCGTCGCAATCTTTAGTGACGGCATTCCGACGGGTGGTGAAGGCCGAATTGTTTGTATAGGTTTCATTTAACTGAATTTCGATTTTTTTTTCTCCTAGATTGTTGACTAGTATTTTCGCTCCTCCTCCGGTGAATGTGTAAGCCTTTTTGCCTATGCTTTTCCTTTTTCTTTTGAGCTTCCGGAATCACGTCATAGCCGTCTAGTATTACGACGTGGTTCCCACACACTCAAGTGCGCGGCTGTTTGTTCGTGGCAGCCGATCATTTGTCTCGTCTGGGCCGCTTGCAATAACACAGGAACTTCCCATTCTTTTTGACCTCACTGTTGAGACGACGAGGGATTATTGGGATTTTAGCAGATTTGGAGGTTTTTTGGATTTCTGCTACATGGCTGTTGTGTTACTCTCTCGAGTAGTTATCGATGTTTACCGATTTGATACCGCATTTTTGTGGTCTTACTGCTAGCAGCAGCTCGGCCAAGTTTCTAAGGATTACCTCTAGTACATGCTTTGACACTCATTTTCAGGTTTATCTTAAACAGAACTTCACTCTAGCAGAATTCACTTGAACCAATCTATCGCCGTCCCTCCATTCAGCCCTCCCCTCCAGCCACCCCCTTTGATATGGGTTGCTAGTTAGGTTTCAACGCTAAATGATTGGGGTTACGTATGGTAGTGTTTTGTAGGCAGAAAGAAATGGTGGATGGTGAAAATGAGGTGATTTTGTATGTGTTCATGACCGCGTTTAATCTCACGAGTAAAGCTGTAACGCGGTCGTAACTTTAAGTAATGAGGGCATTTTATTCGCGTTTGATGCTGCATTCATTTCTTTGCTGTAAATGTGATTACTGTAACCATTGCGAGGAATAATTGCGTGCTAAATGTGACACTGACGATGACACGAATGCGCTGTGCGACTGCATCTTTACACCGTCGTCAACCAGCTGCTCCGCAGTGATCCAAAGCGATGTTGGATGATGATTTGAGATGCGTGCTCCAACAATCAGCAACGAGTTCTGCTTGCAGGCTGTGAGCCTTGGTAGGACTGGCCGCTTAGTGGTTGAGGGTAGAGGTTACCTGTTCACGAGCATGTAGGCCTGCTTTTGGCTTATCCGTGGAGATGTATCTTCGCAACTTGCTGTTTACTGCCTTGTTTACAAGAAGTCGTTGTTTTAGCGCTAACAGGCCGAAACAGCGAGAGAGGCATCGGAAAGACGATAACGCGACGAGTTTCGTGTTTTGAATAGCAAAGCAGCCCAGGCTAAGGGAATAAGCAGGACGATAGTGACTAAAGTGAATATGCTCCCGGGCGTTCTTCACAAAATCAGGCCTCATTGCCTTGAAGTTCTCTGAAATTTCCTTACCACAATGTTCAGCATTTTTTTTCACAACCTTCGTGTTCCCAATCGTTTCTCTAGATAATTCTCTTATTTTTCGCACAGCTGGTTACGAATTGCATTAGAAGAAATGGGTTTTTGCACAATAACTAGTATTAGTATCATCCACCGTTTATCTGAAGTAACTATTTTTTTTTGTTGCTCTAACAATGTGAGGCTTTGCCTGTGTGTTCCCTCTATGGGTGCACTCATGAGCTATTTGTTGTGTTGATTCTAAACGATGTGGCTCTTTTAACCTACTTGACCATAGTGTTCGCCAAGATAAGAAGTTTCTATGGTCTCATTGAAATTGGAAGTAGGCAAGAGTAATAACTGCCAGCCTTTGTTTTCCTTCTCCTGTGTTTTCAAGTATTATATCATGTCTGTGATAGCTATTGACAATAATCTGTGATGAAACATTTTGCCTCGACTGAAAGTTCTTATTTATTGTTTCGTAACATAAAGCAACCTGAAAGCTGATATATCGTACTACTAAATATGTGCCGATTGCATTTCGTGATCTGTTTGTCTGATGTTTTCAGATTCGAAGAAAAGTAAAGCTTTATGAATAGTATATGTTGCCAAGCGCTTCTCAAATACTCTTCACCGATAGAGAGAAGTTCCAGCTTTCATTATTTATTCCTGTTATTTTATCCCGTTTTGTGTTGTATCCTTTCATCACACAGGCGGAATTGGTGCAGTACCAAGCTTTCTGCTTTGTGGAATCCGGAAAATTCTGGCATTCTTTTCCAACACGAATATGTCAGTTGTGATCACTAGAGATAAACAATTTTCACGCGCGAAGGCGCAGTTTTTGAGAAAAAAATAAGGATAAAGCATTTGCCGTTGATCAATCCCTTTTTGGGATGCGGCACGCATTCTACTTCCATTTGTACATTCGTAGTGGCGTTTGAATGCGATGTGGCCTATACAATGACTTGCGGGGACAAGTCAGTGTTTTTATCCTCCCAGACAAGTCTGGTACCAATTAACCGACCCCGGAGGGATGGAAGGCTTGGTTGGCCCGGGCGACTCACGACCCAGGATTTGATCCCGGACCGCTCGCGTGGTGAGCGTGCCACTTGCCACTACACCACTTCCGCCCACAGGGCTTTTATGCAGGAGGATCAAACTCACGAACAACCACATTGTATGGACGGTTGACGGTAGGTTGGCGGCGATAAAGCGGGGCTGGAATGCAATGAAAGGCCGTCAGTTTTTGGAGAACAGAAAACAAAACAGGTCGACTAGAGGTTTAATTGGATTTGGCGGGCGCCGGGGGCGCAAAAAATAGTAGTGTGAGATGTCAGTGCAATAAGTCAAAAGGTCAAGAAGAGTCTAGTGGCAGCACTCCGTGAGCCAAGTGGTCGTCAGCACTTGTGACAGATGTCCGGTCGGAACTCGAAGCGTAGCAGTCATTCCATTTATTCGAATTTGTTTACCGAAACAAAAGCAACTTTTTTGTTCTTTTTGTTCTTATCGTGGGCGATGGGTATCAAGCCAGTGATTTATGGGTTACATAGGTTGACGATTTTTCCGGGAGGAATTCCTCTAACTCGTGCACGGTTCGAGCATCAAATTTTGGATTGTGAGTCGTCTAGACCAACTTCTTTTAACCCTTTGAGATCTAAATGAATAAATAAGTAGGTCTGGTAATTGACACCAGGCTTGTGGGAGGGATAAAAGCACCGGCACGTACACCGGCTTCTTCCGCAAGTAAAGGACCTCACTTGCCGTGTTTTTTCGAGTCGACGTGGGTTGGTAGAGTGCGTGCTTCATCCCTGAAAGGGGCTGATCAGCGGCGAAACGGTTAACTGCCTGTCTCTCATATGTGTGTTGTCCCATTTTTCGCAAACATTTGAAGGCAGGGTCCCGGCTCAATCTTACTGAGAAAGCCTCTCTCGTATGGAGGTGTTAGGTACGCCTTCTCATGATCGAGTCACTTTCGGTCTGGAAACGCGTCACTAAGGTGCTAGGCACCCTGAGCTTGAATGCTCCCACGCCAACTATGAGCGCGCCCGTCCATCACCTCGCTTATGTGTTTTGTAGTGTTAGGCTGTTATGCTTTTAGGCCAGGTTTTTTTCCTCTCGGCGGTTTTCATTATTTTACTTCACTTTCTGAATCATAGGACGCGTTTATAGTTCGCGACATGGGACAGTAGGATAGTAGACGGTAGAATGTTGAAATAGGATGTTGCGCTGGAAAGAACAGATACCTACCTATTGGAACAGCCGGAGCGTAGTAGACTAGTCGCCATTCAAGCGAAACGATCAACACGTATCTAATCTTGTCAGTACAGTATTCTAATCTGATGCTATCCTGCTATCGTAATATCGTATTCTACTACTCTCCGGCGGTTTCAATCGATACCTATCCAGTCTTGTCAGCGCATTATCCTACTCTAATACTATCCTAATCTGTCTCAGTACGTATCTTTATCCTTTGTTACTGTTTCTAGGAGTCACGAACTTAAACGCGCTCTTAGATTTATCCGCAGTGTAAGCGAAGAGCTTCCTATTTTCCGGCGTTTTCGACGCTTTGTTTCCTTTTTTCTCCAAATGCGCTCTACTTCACATCTGTCCTTACATATCCGTGTGGAAATATCACTTCCATTCGTATTGGGCTCTGCCTTCAAGGAGTGCTACTTTCGTCTGGCGTCGTCGATCTGACTCGAAGTGAGAAGGGTAAACCAGAACGAGAAAGTAACCTCCCACATAGTGCTGAGCGAGAGCACCTCAAGGTACTGTCGGGTTCAGGCCATAAGGTGAAGTACATCGTGGTCGCATATCGTGCGTAGAACACATTTGCGCTGGATATCAGGAAAAACGAGTCATCATGAACCGCTTCGCTCCAGTTGGTATTGGGACCGGCACCGTTGCCGTGTGAGAGCAAACGCGGTCGGAGGTATTTAAGTGCACCGTCCTCAGCAACGAAAATCCAGCCGGTGCAGAGAAAAAGTTTACCTCAAGATACATCCTTATCGCTTTTTTGTGAGCACTGTATAGTAAATAACTCGTAGTGGAAGATAGCGCGATTTCCAATCCGCACTGTCCAATGATCGAGGCTTGACTCGAAACTCATTCAGGTCAGTCTCATTTCCCATAGTGTCCCCTCCAAGATCCTTCTGGTAGATTGTAGGAGTTAGGCGCTGAATGGTTCGGGTCAAAAGACGCGGGATAGCAGGCTGTTTTCGCCTGGTCTTAAAGCAACAATCCAACAAATTTTGCGGGCAAAAACCACCGATAATGAAGCTGTAGGAGACAGATAATGAAAGAAAGTAAAAGAAAACGTCGAACAAGGACTTAGAAAGAGACTCCCCCTCTGCCACTTAGCAGTGGAGGAAGACGCGCGTTGGACGAGTTGCCTGAACCTGCCCGCAGTAGATGCGCTCCAATTACAATTGCTGGCAAATAGCCAGCAATAGCTGGCTACTTGCCTCTAATTGGAGCTTTGCGGGGCGCCAATAATGAATAGATTTAGTTAAATTTGAAGGGTTAGAAGGTAGGAAGTAAAAATGTAGAAATTCAGCATAGTCGGCATCACCAC